CTCCACAGTCTATGGCACACGTCCCATCACCACAAAATCATGCTCCGCAGTCTATGGCACACGTCCCATCACCATAAAATCATGCTCCACAGTCTATGGGTGGTTAGCACTTGTGTAGCTTTATCTAAAACAAACAAATCTTCTTTGTCTAAAGTGGGCACATGATACTGTTTAACCTTTGGAATTTAACCAATCACAGTGTAACTAATCATGTATAAATTACAGCAGCCTTAAAATATTGCTTCTTTAAATAATAGTAATGCACAAGATGACAGATTTGATTAGGACTCAGCTGCATGAGAAACTACTTGTTTAATTCAGTTTCATCCTACAACTTAGGACTAACATCTTTATACATGAACAAGGTGACAGATTTGATTAGGACTCAGCTGCATGAGAAACTACTTGTTTAATTCAGTTTCATCCTACAACTTAGGACTAATATCTTTATACATGAACAAGGTAACAGATTTGATTAGGACTCAGCTGTTCGAGATGTGACTTAATTTAGTTTCGTCCCATTTGTTTGAACCAACATCTTTATATATGATTGTCCTTAAATTAATTTTTTGTTTAGCTTTTCTCTTGTTAAGTTTAAATTTAATTATTTACTAACATGTATTTAATTCCCCTGTGTAATTTTATACTAACTGTTTAACTTAAATGCCTGATTACTAACTTAGATTCTAAATACTCAATATCTAGAGATAAACCATCGAGATTTACCTCTCTGACTTCCAATCTTGCTGAAGTTGTGGACTTTATAGTTCAGATCTAGCCTAATTACAGTTTCTCCTCACAGTTGACTTTGGCATACTGGTAGAGTACACAAGTACACATAGAAAGTATAACACTAATATGATACACTATCCAAGTTTTAGAGGGTTGTGTTAGTCTCCTTTAATAGTCTTTTCTTAAACAAGTACACTTAGAAAGTATAACACTAACATGATACACTATCCAAGTTTTAGAGGGTTGTATTAGTCTCCTTTAATAGTATTTTCTTAAACAAGTACACTTAGAAAGTATAACACTAACATGATACACTATCCAAGTTTTAGAGGGTTGTGTTAGTCTCCTTTAATAGTCTTTTCTTAAACAAGTACACTTAGAAAGTATAACACTAACATGATACACTATCCAAGTTTTAGAGGGTTGTGTTAGTCTCCTTTTATAGTCTTTTCTTAAACAAGTACACCTAGAAAGTATAACACTAATATGATACACTATCCAAGTTTTAGAGGGTTGTGTTAGTCTCCTTTAATAGTCTTTTCTTAAACAAGTACACTTAGAAAGTGTAACACTAACATGATACACTATCCAAGTTCTTCAGTATTTTGATAACATGCCAGATTTCAATAAGGGTGTATGATGTATATTTGATTATAATAAATCTTAAGTCATTTATAATAAAAAATGAAACTGCTCCATTTTCAGAAATTTAGCCACAACTAAAAATATGCAGAAAACTTTAATAATGAAGCTACAAAATCATATTATCAAAGTAATGTATAATTCTATGAAGCCACTGGAGAAACAACCTTTACAAGTTCATCCGCCAGGTGAAGTGACACATTTAGGTCCTCACAGTTGTTCTGTATTAACTCTGGAATACCATCTATTCCATAATAGGCTCCAGCTATGCTGCCTGCCATTGAGGCTATCGTATCCGTATCACCTCCCAAGGATATGGAAAAATGCATAGTTCTAACAAATGGGTTTTCATACTGGAAGAAAGAATAACTCTTTCACAAAAAGTATCACTAGCGTGTATTTTTTTCTGAATATACAAACATCTATCTCATTCTACGAAATCTGTTTTTTGAAATTTTCTACCACTTATATACTGACTAATAGCCTATTTAAATCTGCTACTCAAATTCATGAAAAGTTTATTTGCACTAGTTCTAGATGTTTAACTGGTCTGGCCACCATCAATTTTCAACATCTACTGCAAGACGTAGATACTTTTAACAAACATTTATTTAATAATGTAAAAATTACTATACTGAAAAAAATATATATAATGAAAATCTGTTAACAGAAATAGAAGAATACTTTATCTTGAAAGAAAAAACTCTTTATCCTTATGGATTAAATCAAGATTTTCGAAATAAAAATGCTGAAGCTTTAAGTAAAATATTTGTATTAGAAACCTGTTTCAAATAAATATTTGTAACAATAAAAATATAAATGTATGAGTGAAAGTAAAAATAATGAAAAATTCTTTTATTTCAAAAACTTAGATATTTGTCAAAATATATATTACATTTTGAATTTAATCATATTGATATCAAGGGTTTAATTATAGATTTAATTAAATTTAGATTAAAATGGAATAAAATACAAACAATAATCCTTTAGTAAAGAAAAAATCTTGTATAGTTTTTGATTTTAAACATATATAATGATTTAGCTCTACCTTTCCTAATCTATAAGAGTTCAGGAAAACATTTTCTCCATTAAATCAGTTCAGTCTATAACTAGTTTTAAATATAATAAACCTATAGGAACTCTTATCTTCAACTATAAACAATTCATTGAAAAATTGCTTTGTTAATGTAACAATAATGATTTTAAGGACCGTTTTCACAATCATATAGTTACAGGTAATTTAGAGATTACCAAGGACAAGGAATTACAATCAATATTAGGGAAAGGCACAAAATTCAGAATCTTAAAAAAAAACTAAAAAAAAAGTGAATCTCAAAAGATTTGGAAAAATTATATTATCAAAATAAGTAAAAAATCTTACTATCCTTCATGTTTCTTTTTTGTATGGAAATTATATTTCATCAGTTCCATATTAAAATTAAGAAATTTAAATCTATCTCAATATAAAATCGATGTTTCTTCCAATGTCTTCAAAAATAAAATAAAAGGATGTAATTTTGGCTTTATATGTAAAAAATTATATGCACAAATTTTAATTAAAAAAATTAATAATATAAGTACATTTATAAAATACTATGATTACTAACACAAAGAAAGCCGTTACAAAATTGAATATACAAACAGATTTTTCTTCTTTTTTATATGCAATTCCAAAATTGCATAAAAATCCCATTACGTTCAGATATATATGTCTAATTCTTTAACTACAGTTACTAAATCTGTATCTATTGTTCTTAATAATATTCTGGATGAAAAAAATTAAAACACTGTTTTCAAATAATCCGGATAATTCTTTTTGGATTATTAAAAACAACATTACAGTTTTGGAATGTTTATATAATTTAAATGCTTCAGGTACAGCCAACTCTGTTTCTACATATGACTTTTATAAATACACAAATAAACCTTTTTTGTTACTAGAGATCATTAGCTACTTTTAAGTAGCTTATATTAAATTTATAATTTTATTCAGTATACTGGGACGGAAAGACTAGCTTCAAGTAGCTGGGCTTGTCTCGGCTTTCCCATGTTATACTTGAATACATTTATGAGAAGCGGAGGAGGTTGGGAATATGAACTACGTAAGAAATATTAAGGTAGGGCTTGTAGTTCTATCTAAGATAATTTTATTTCTTTTGTTTGGGTGGAGATTGGGAATTGCATATAGTAGAAATGTTAGGGGTGGTTTCATTTCTAAGTTATAATTTTCCCATACTGAAAACGTATTTCTGATAGGTACTTCTCTCCACTTACAAGATTAGCTTTTCCCATTTTGTGCTGCCCTCTATATGTGAACTTTTTTATAACGCATGCCACAAGCCTTCCACACTCCCCCCATTGGAATCAAAGATTCCAACATGTCTCTCATGCGTCATCTCTCCACCAATAGGAGAGCATTACTATCACGTGACACATGTGACCTCCTCTATGCACCACTACCGAACATCATTTCAAAGTTTGGCAGATGACTTTAGCACAGAAAGATTGTGGGAAGTGTGAGAGGTATAGGAAAACTATAACTTCCGATACAGTACTTCTTTCCTCACAGAAGATTAGCTAGAATCCCACATTGAAAAGGAGGAGGGACCTGTGCCAGGGAAAAACAAATGTACCCCTTGAAAGCATCTGAAGGATACTTCTGTAGATGAAACAGATCAGATGATCTAAGGAAGGGTAAGAGGAGAAGGAAATATGCCTTGAGGGATACGTGAAACAAAGAGTACGAGGCAATAGAAGGTAAATTAAGGGAATGGAGTACCACGTTAATGTTCCAATCCAGAAGTACCAGATGCCTAGGCAGCCGATGGATCCAGAAAGAAAGACCCTGCAGTAACAGGAAAAATGGATAGTATGGGATAGGGCTGCCCGACAACCCAAGATGACCGAAGACTCCTTCTCAAAAAGCAATGTAAGAAACTCGAAGATACTAGCAACTGTAGAATGAGAAGCTGAGATACCCCGAGCCAGGGCCCAGGTGCAAAAAACATTCCATTTCCTCAGATACACAGCCATGGATGAAGAATGAATGGAATGAACTAAATGAGATGCCACCCGACATGAGAAATCGAATCTCCTCGCCTGGGACCAGACAAAAGCCAGGCGTGAAGATGGAGGATGTGAAGTGTGGGAGGCAGAACCAGCAACTGGGGTTGACGAGGAAGTTCGCAGAATAAAGAAAGAGGGATGGGAAGGAACAACTATAGCTGGAGTAATCGAGGAAACCATAGTTGAGCAGGCTAGTAAAGAGCAATCAGAAGGACTTTGCACAAAGTGGTATGGATGAGGGAGACTACCTGATGAAGTAATCAGATAGGAGAGTAAGCATAAAGGAACTTGTTCGACCAATCCTGGCTGAAGGCATCTATAGCCAAAGCTCGATGATGGGGAACTGGGGACCAAAACAAAGACAACTGGTGATTGAGGGCAGTGGCAAATGCAGTGATATGAGGAATACCTCACCGATCATAAAGCCACCAGAAAACAAGGGGATGAAGGGACCACTTTGTTGGGTAAACTCGGTCGTGTTGGGAAAGACGATCTGCCACAAGGTTGAAAGCACCCGGTATGTGACACGCCATCAAATGAATGTAATGATCGTGGGCCCAAAAGAGAAGATCCAATGTTAGGAAAGACAGGGATCTCAGCCGGGTGCCACCTTGGTGATTGATATGAGCCACCAATTATCAGAATGAATCATGACCAGGCAATCTCTGGAGATGAAAGAAAGTGATCCAAAGCCCAATGAACAGTACGAAGTTTGAAGATGTTGATATGAAGAGAATGTTCCCCCAACAGACCAATGACCCAAAGCCTCCTGGTGATCAATCTACGCACCCCAGCCCAGAAGGGAGGCATCCATGAACAGATCTAAAACTGACTGCAGATGTGGAAGCAGAACAACCACTGATGTATGAGCCTTGTCCAACCACCATTGGAGATCATCAACAATGTAGGAAGGAAGAGTTATAGGAGTATCCAAGTGATCCAAAGCAAGGTTCCATTGGTTGTTGAGGACCCACTGAAGGGATCACATAGGAGCCCCCAGCTGAGGGACATGAGAAGAGTCATAGAAGACCACATCCCAAAAAAGCAATAGAACCATGTGAGCAGAAAGTGAAGGAGCAGACAGGGCATTTCGAATGGCCGGTTCTATAGAACAGAGCCAGAGAAGAGAAGGTTGAGCCTGAGTGAGATGGGTGTTGAAGAAAACATCCAGATGAACAAGGTACTGGGTAGGATGAAGGGAGTACTTCTCCCATTTGATCAACCAGCCTATCCGAGCAGCTTTGAGAAGGAGCTGACGAGTATGACAGACCAACTCCCATTCAGAATGAGCAAGAAGAAGCCAGTCATCCATGTAAATGTGAAAGCGTAACCCCAGGGCATGAAGATGTAGAGAGAGGGTTCCCACCATCGAACAGAAAATGTACAGCACCGAAGCCAGCCCTAAGGGTAAGGCACAAAATTAGTACATCACTCCATGAAGGACAACCAAAGATAAGGATGCAAACACTACAATATGGGAATATGCAGATAAGCATTGGAGACATCCATCTTAGTCATCCAAAGACCCAGAGAAAAAGCCCCCTGAAGAGTAAGATAGGATTCCATGGTGAAACGTGGGGTGTGAACATAACGATTGAGATGGGACAGGTCAATGACTGGCCTCCACTTTCCAGTCTTTTTGGGAACTACAAAAAGGTGGGAGTAAAACCCCACAAACCGAGTGAAGCAGATTCGATAGCATGTTGTGTGAGGAGGCCTTGCAAGACAAGGGATCCTGAGGAGGAGGAAAGGAAACAGACGTGCAGAACAAGAGAGGAAGGGTAAGAAAGGGTATGACAAATCCCTCTGACAAAACTCGGTAAACCCAAACACCGGAGATTAAAGGGCTCCCACTGCACCCAAACCCCCCAGGTAGTCACTGGACCGTTGTTAGCAAAAATTACAAACAGTGGCACTATGGGAAGGAGGAACAGGCAAGGACTGGGAAGGGGAGGGTCAGGAGACAGGAATCAGTGTCACGCTTGGCTGTGACTGGGACAAACGGGCCACCAAATGAGAAAGGTGGATTGTTGTTGAACCGAAGCCACCCTCAAATCCAAAGACTCCAGGATCGTGTCAAACACGAGATGTCTCAAAAACAAAGCCATATGAAGGTCCTGTAGATAAAGAGACAGGAGACGGGTCCATGACAATATGGTATCATGACCCAAAAGGTCCCAATATATATTACAAATAAACTGCTTTTCCAGGGCCAGAGCTGAAGATGACAAACGGACTACCACGGAAGTGAGGAGGGAGAAGACATCCCTACAAACCCCTCAGGGTT